GATCAGTTACTGTATCACCATTTTCTCACTTAAACATTCAATTAATCTTCTGTTACCCTGTCATTTCCAGTTCCATCATTGTAACACCAGTCCCTCCATCATACTGTCATATCCTCCATTACCCTGTCATAAACAATTCCATCATTTTATCATCATTGTCTCCAGCATAGGGACATAATTTGTTCCATAATTGTCTCATAATCTTTGTTCCAACAGTGTGTCACAGTCCCAGTACATCACTTTCAAAATGTTTATTCTGTAACTGACTGATGATCTTTCATCAAACACTGATATGAAAATTTGTTCCATCACTCTTATATTGATTGTTCCATCACTTTATATTGATTATTCCATCACTTTATATTGATTATTCCACCACTGTTATATTCATTGTTCTATCACTGTTATATTCATTGTTCCATCACTGTTATACTCATTATTAAGTCACTGTTATATTAATTGTTCCATCACTGTTATATTCATTGTTCCATCACTGTTATATTCATTATTAAATCACTGTTATATTCATTGTTCCTTCACTGTTACATTCATTGTTTCATCACTGTTATATCCATTGCTCCATCACTATTATATCCATTGTTCCATCACTGTTATATTCATTGTTCCATCACTATTATATTAATTTTCCATCTGTTACATTCATTGTTCCATCACTGCTATATTCACTGTTTCATCACTTATATTCATTGTTCCATCACTGTGATATTCATTGTTCCATCACTGTTACATTCATTGTTCCATCACTGTTATATTCATTGTTCCATCACTGTTATATTAAGACAGGGGACGATGCCAGTATCACTCACTTAATTGTTCCATCACTTAATTGCTCAATCACTTAATTGTTCAGTCGCATATTTATTTTTCCATCACTTAATAATTGTTCCATAGCTCAATTACCTAATTAAAATAATCCATTACATAATTGTTCCCAAACTTAATAATTATTGTAACACTTAATAATTGTTCCACCACTTATTTGTGCCATCACATATTATTTGTTCCAACACCTGAAAAGTGTACCATCACTGTGAAAATATCGGCTCTTGATCCTAGGAATTGAAACAACCCTCCACCTCCTTGGATCAGGCCAAAGTGCCTTCCACTCCCTATGCGCTTTTTTATCCCTGCGGGTTTAGTGCTTCCCCCGTGAATACAGTAATGAACCATAGTCAAAAAATAATACTAGAAATAATACAATATTGCATTCGAATAAATCGCCTAAAATTAGTTGTATTAATACACATTTTTAAAATTGCTACTGTAGTACACTATTGTATTGTTCCATAACTCGATATATAATCTGTAAGTCGTTATAAGATCTGTAACACAAATTCTAATCGATTATTCTGAATATAATTTATTACTTGATATATAATTTATTTCTCATAATATAATCTATCACTCAGTATATAATCTATCAGAATATAATCTATTACTCGGTATATAATCTATCAGAATATAATCTATTACTCGGTAATAGGTATGTTTGTTTCCACGTAGAGCTTTATCAAGGGATTTTTCTCTCTGTCTAGAGCTTTATTAGTGTACTTTCGATGTGTAGAGCTTTATTAATGTACTTTCGATGTGTAGAGCTTTAGAGCTATACCAAAGGCTATGTGTAGAGCTTTAGGAAGCTTCCTAGGTAAAAGCTGTCTACTAGAGGATCTTTAGACTATCCCTGTACGTCTACTGAAATATGATTATCCTGAAACGTTTTAATTACAGTTTCCTTTAATGGTTTTTTTAGTAGTTCCTGAAATTCATCTTCTCGCCTTTTTGAGATATTGTCTCTCCCCTGAAATACTGTCTATCGCCATTAAAATACCATCTATCGTGACTGAAACACTATCGCGTCTAAAACAATCTGTTGTAGCTTACTTAAGCACTGTCTATCGCCAACGAAGCGCTCTATTTGTAAACTAAAACACCATCTATCTCAATCAGTGAAAACACTGTCGCCACTGAAGCACTATCTATCGCCACTGAAACATCTAACGCCACTGAAACACTATCTATCGTCACTGAAACATTATCTATCTCCACTGAAACACTATCTATCGTCACTGAAACCCTATCTCTCGCCACTGAAACATCTAACGCCACTGAAACACTATCTATCGTCACTGAAACATTATCTATCTCCACTGAAACACTATCGCCACTGAAACCCTATCTCTCGCCACTGAAACATCTATCGCCACTGAAACATCTGTCGCCACTGAAACACTATCTATCGCCACTGAAAGCCTTCAACCACTGAAAAACTACATTTTCTGGCCGCTAAGACGCCAGAATTCTCAATAACCGAATAAAGTCTGTCGCTCAACACTCACCACTGAAATGCAAATAAGAAAAAACTCTGTACACTTTCACTTTTGCAAAAATTAGGTCGCATAGCAAATTGAAACTTGACTGGCTAATGCTTACTCCTTAAGTGTGCGTTCTATTATTTTAAGACGCGCTCAAGTGGTAGATGTATCATGTTAAGGATTACACTTAAGTGTGAGGTTTATGCTGAAGAGTGAGCTTGGCCATGTTCCTTGATTAGAGCTCAGTGTTGTGTTTCTATGTACGCCTTGGTGGAGCTCCCACTTGAGGACTTGAGGTAAAAGAGCCTGGAAGCCAGTGTGTCTTTTTCTTGATTAGCGGGCGGAGGATCGAGCTTACAAAAGCACGTGTCTTGAATGAGCTCTCAAGGTTTATTTCCTCAGCATCAAGGCACATTCTTGAATAAATCTGTCACATGAGATGATTTGTTGGTTCATCTTCAGACGATGTATGGGTGTGCTATTATCTCACTAAATTTATTGTATTAGCACCACCTCTATTTTATCATTGCTATTTTATCACTGCTAGATCTATTGTATCACTGTTAGATCTATTGTATCACTGCTAGAGCTATTAACTTTCCACTGCAGCTGTTGAAATTTCACATCGCAAATCACTGTACCATCGTCGCTCATAAATCACTAGCGAAATCACATCTAACCACAACAAATGGAAACATAAGGGCTGGATTTATAGTCAAGAACAGACGGAAATGTCATCTAATTATCTTATCTAGCTTGTGGGTTAGCTGTGAATTGTAGGTGTCACTGTACACTGACTTGTATTTCCCACTAGTGAAGCCGTGATCCACTGCCGTGACTCTGCTGTAATAACATCAGACCATAACACCGGGTCAGCCGCTGGTGTATCGCTGGACAGCTTCGCCAGTAGTTGGTAAGAGAGGGACGCGGTATTCGTTAGTATCAATACCGCATTTGTCTTATTGTGAAGTAGTTCGTTCACCTCTTTTCTTCAGCAAGATTATATTCATCTCACAGTCAAACGGATTCCCGGGCCTGTCGGAACATGAGGGTTACTCTCCCCAAACCCTAGAGTTTATCGGCTTTCGTAGGTCGCATCCTGGAGAAGAGTACTTAAGAGACCCCAAACCACACTGCTTGGCTTTCAAGTTTCCCTGGGTTAATAACTCTCCGTAGTTATTCTTCCTTTTCTCCCTTATTCACCCTGCTGACACTACACTGTAGTTAAACCTGAAACTCCGAGGGTATAATTCTCAGTCTATTTATACAGCGTTTAAACCTGTTTTTTAAGGGTTAAAGTATTCTTAACTAGCGATGTACAGGTTTACTGTATGCACTTCCCTAGTGTATTCGATGCCATTTAAATCTAACATACCAAACCACGGTACTGGCGGGGATTGAACTCGCGGTGAGTGAATCGTAAAAATAAAGTATTTGATTACGGAAGCGTTTCTCTCACTGGGAACTTTGTCACTTTAAGTGGCAAAGCTCCAAGTGAACGAAACGTTTTAGGTAAGAACTCGAGTGCTACACATGTGACTTTGTTGTATTATGTCGGTATATATGTACCAGGTTCCTGTAATAACTAACCCACAACACAGTGGCTGGAACAATTCACAACTAATCCACAATACAGTGATTGTAACAATTCACAACTAACCCACAATACTGTGGTTGGAGCAGTTCACAACTAACCCACAATACTGTGGTTGGAACAATTCACAACTAATCCACAGTACTGTGGTTGGAACAGTTCACAACTAGCCCACAATACTGCGGTTAGAAAATTTCACAACTAACCCACAATACTGTGGTTGGAATAATTCACAACTAACCCACAATATTGTGGTTGGAACAATTCATAACTAACCCACAATATTGTGGTTGGAACAATTCACAACTAGCCCGCAATACTGTGGTTGGAACAATTTACAACTAACCCACAATACTGCGGTTGGAACAATTCACAACTAACCCACAATACAGTGTCAAGAACAATTCAAAACTAACTCATGGCTGAAACAATTCACAACTAGTCCACAATACCGTGGCTGGAACAATTTACAACTAACAATACCGAGTGTGGAATAATACGCAACTGACAATACCAAATCTGGAACAATTCACAACTAAAATACCGAGCCTGAAACAATTCACAACTGACAGTACCATGGCTGAAACAATTCATAAAAAATCGTTCTTAAAAAAAGGAACTTTACACAGCGTTCAAGTCCGTGCTGAACAATCATTAAATCACAACTGTTATGACTTGATAACGCTCTAGAACGAATGGAAACGTCTTCTGAAATCTCCTTTCGTAAGTATGAGGTCATTCGTAAAATGTCCAATAACCATCTGGTTCGTACAAAAAAAATCATGAGAGGCAGAAATCATTCAGGTGACCAACGTTATTGAAATCCATAAGGAAATCCTTTAAAGAAAAAAAAATGTTCATTGGGTGTTCTTATAAGCAATCACTTTGCTTGATCATTACTGTTATACCATATTATAACTAAGTGATTGAATTGCAATTATAATCGATTGCTTTGAAAAATTCAGTGGTTGCTGAAGAGGGACTGATAGATGAGAACTGGGTCACTGGTTACTGGTTACTCATACAGGCGGAAATTATAAATTGGTAAAATATATATAGGTAAGGGAGCTTACCTTTCTTGTGTAAGCATTTCATTCAGTGAGGTGTAGCGGCCGCAGCAGCAACAGCAACAGCAGCAGCAACATCTGCAGCAGCACTGAGTAGTCCTAGGAGCACACACAAATACACATACACACTTCCTGTTATCTACAAATCATTGCAACATCACAACCCACAGCCTTCATCCAAGGCTCGTGCAACACTACCAAGGCTTCTGCAACACTAGCAATTCTTGTTGCAACACTTGTAAGTACCACAAGTCGTAAATATTCTCAAATCAGTATCAGTAATGTATATATTGAAAACAAACTGTTTCTTCCACACAGTTCACGCTATTCTGACAAGTTTTTTTCTAAGCTTAACAGTCCATGTTAGGAGCGAGAAGTATACATATGGAGTATATTCATACAACTGTGTGTATAAGGCAGAGAATGAGAAAAGAAGTCATCAAAAGTCCATCATTAGTTGTGGTTTAGAGGGGAAAATGTATTGTCCTGAGGGGTTGGTTTAACGATAGCGCAGGCTGGGTGGCTGTCACGCTCAACACGGCTTCCAGAGGCACACTGACTGCAGAGCAGCATTTGCAGCTGTACCGCCCCCCCTCCTTACACCATCTCTGGCCGCCCCTCACGCCCACCCGACACACCATCACTGCCCACCCACTGCCGCCCTGTCACCTCCCACCCTCTACCACACCGTCACCACCCATCCAGTATCACCCATTCACCACCCTCTCAATGTCATCCCTTTTGAATCCACCCAGTGCCAGTCCCCCATTAATCATTCATGCACCACCCAGTGCCAGCCCCCCATACTAACTCATGCACCACCCAGTGCCAGTCCCCCACTACTCACTCATTCACCACCCAGTGCCAATCCCCCAATACTCACTCATTCACCACCTACCCATTCAGAGCCAGCTGCCTACTACCCCCAGTCACCACCCACCAACCGTAATTCACCAACCACCGCTGAGATATATACTCCTACCCACCATCAGCCACGAACCAACCACCCACCATCACCCAGTCATCACCCATTAAGTTTTTTTCACTTCCGTGGATGCCTCCTACATCTGTTCATCGTCCGTCTTCTCTTCTACCTTCTCCTCCTTTTCTTTTTATATTTTAATCCTCCTCCTCTTCCTTCCTTCCTTCCTCTTCCTTCCTCTTACCTCTTAAGAAAACCTCAAAGCACTTAACCTGCTCTCCCTCAAAAAAGGAAGCCGTCGAGAAAATCTCATTCAAATCTTTAAGTTACAAAACAGATTTGTTGAACTCAAACACAAAAACGTCATTTGAAGTGCGAAGTTATTCAGAAACAATCACATAATTTGGGGAAGGGTCGAGGTCTGGCTGTGAAATTAGTATGAGCTTCTCGCGATTGGCGGGAGGAGGGGAAACGGAGGATCGAGCCTCAACCACTGACTCAGACTGGTGTAACGCATTATGTCTGCTGGCTTCTCTGTCCAGGATGGACGGAAGTATCGTAATGAGTTTCATTCTTAAATTCAGGTAATTTGTAAGTCGTTCCAGCCATAGTAAAGTACAGTATGATAAGTTTTTCTTACACACACTCACACACACACACACACACACACACACACACACACACACACACGCACACACACACACACACACACACACACACACACACACACACACACACACACACACACACACACACACATACACACACACACACACACACATGCTTGAGAGGTGCGGTAGGAGGTCGAGACCCCAGGTTCATTGAAGCAACCGTGCGGTGGGACACCCTTGCAGACTCCTACAGTAGACCAGCTCCTCCCAAAGCGCACAAACAGTCCCACTAGGACAAACCGATCAAGGAAAAAAATCACCAACACAGTGCTCACCAACGCTTCAGGAAAGGACAAAGCTCGTCTCCTAGTGGGGAAGGCACCACATTCAGATTTCCTTTTAACTGTTCGCAGTTCCTCTCTGAGCACTCGACTCCACCCACAGGCCATTCGGATTGGTGTTGCTTATCGCCTGGCTACCCCAATGCTCACCGAACATAGGTGTACTTGCGGCAGGACGACGGCTGATCAATTCGGATTTCATGGTCTCTTGTGTCACACATCAGAAGGGAAGTATGATAGACATGAGGAGGTCAACGACATCATAAAGAGAAGCCTCGCCACAGCCCGTAGCCCAGCTCAACGGGAACCCCAAGTATAGAGGTCTGACGGAAGTCAAAAGCATCCTGCTGGAGCCACTAAGCTACCCTGGAAGGATGGTAAGAAGACTGCCTGGGACTACACCTGTGCCTCCACATTGGTAGACACCTACTTGCCATACTCTGAAGCTGAAGGGGGTGGAGCTGCCAGCTACAGGGAGGCCCAGTAGACCCGCAAGTATGAAGGCCTTCCCCCTTGCTATAACTTCATCCCAGTAGTGTCGGAGACCCTTGGAGCACGGGGCAAGTGTGCTCTAAAGTTCCTCAAAGAGCTGGGTGAAAAACTCATCACAGAAACCAAGGATCACAGGGCGGTCAGCTTTCTCTTTCAGACTCAGTGTTGCGATCCAGACGGGAAGTGCCTGCAGCATTCTGGGTGCGCGGCCCACCGCCGTGGAGCTGGACGAAATATTCGAGATATAGCTCTGAGACGTTATCTATGTTGTTTTACTCCCTATTGTATTTTTGTCAATGTATTTTGACTTTAAATAAAGTCTACTTGAAATATAGAATAAAGGGGGTAGTAGGAAAAGACAATATTCAAAGAGCTCCGGGGAGAACCTTGAGTTTTCCCTGATGTAAGCTTATTCTTTTCTCTGAGGATGAGGGTCCCCAGGACAGTTCCAGATGTGGTACCTCCTTATAATATACATATATATATATATATATATATATATATATATATATATATATATATATATATATATATATATATATATATATATATATATATATATATATATATATATATATATATATATATATATGTCGTGCCGAATATGTAAAACTGGTTAATTAGCAAGAACTCATTTAAAATTAAGTCCTTTTTAAAATTTTCTCTTATACGTTTAAAGATATATTGTTTTTCAATAATGTTGATTTAAAAATTTTTAATTTTGCACCAAAAGGAACTTAGAAAACTTACCTAACCTTATTATAACAAGAGCAATTTATTTTAGCCTAACCCAACTAAATATATTTTAGTTTTGTTTACAGTAATTTAGAACTAAACAAACGCAGTGAAATATATTTTTTTCGTAAGGTTCAGAATGATTTTGGCAAAATTATTGCATACACAAATTTTCACTTGTCCTATATGGCAAGATGAGCGTTGCTATTTAAGCCAAGATCGCAAGTTCTGCCTATTCGGCACGACATAAATATATATATATATATATATATATATATATATATATATATATATATATATATATATATATATATATATAATATATATATATATATATATATATATATAATATATATAATGTGTGTGTGTGTGTGTGTGTGTATATATATGAGACAAGATTACAAATGCTGACTGAAATGTTTTGTAGCGCAAGGCGTAGTAAGTCCAAAACTTTCCTTGTGTAACATAATGACGTCTTGATGAAAGGTGAACTTAAGAGGAAAATGTATAATGAACACATCTTCTGCTTATATTATCCTACTTCTGGGCATTTTCTCTTCCAGTAAAAATACAACAATCATTTGGGAATCAGCTTCACAAAGCTTTTGCAAATATGTTCGATACTTGAGCGCGTCTAGTTGTTTTGGTAACCGGATGCTAGTTCAGGAAGTACTGCAGGGAGACTTCTTGACCATGAACTATCCATGGTTTAACAATAGTCGAGCATGAGTGAATAGTAATGGTGGTGGCGATAGTTGAAATAGTAGCAGTACTAGCAGTAAAAATTAAACTCTCAATCTCTGTTACGTAAACAGAATTTCAGACTGCAGCACTTCCTTCTAATGACGGATTTTTAGTCGAGATATTTTAATTCTAGTGTTAAACAGGAAATGTTTGCGTGCTGGAACGACTCCTGTCTATCTTTTGTATTCTTACGAACATGTACGTACGAGTACACTCTCTCTCTCTCTCTCTCTCTCTCTCTCTCTCTCTCTCTCTCTCTCTCTCTCTCTCTTCTCTCTCTCTCTCCTCTCTCTCTCTCTCTCTCTCTCTCTCCCTCGTTACGTCCTTCTCTCCCCTCTCAACTGGAATTTAATATTTGGTGTCAAAATAATATTCAACTTGTCCATGTAGCAGTTTTTTTTTATTGCACTGCTTTTCTATTTATCCGTCCTAGAGTGGGAATGCACAAGGATCAAATATACTGAACTGTTTTATCTTCTAGCTGAGGCAGTGGAGGAAGAGAGAGAGAGAGAGAGAGAGAGAGAGAGAGAGAGAGAGAGAGAGAGAGAGAGAGAGAGAGAGAGAGAGAGAGAGAGAGAGAGAGAGAGAGAGAGAGCAAGAAATACCATCCAATCATCTCGCTCATCTCAAAAACATCTCCACCAGTCATTCCCGAATACTTCAACAGCCCACCAGTCATACCCCACCACTCCAACATTCCTCTAAAAGTGTACCAGTCCCAGTTCTCCTCAGTACTCTGGGGCAGCGGGTGAAACTTTCTGATGAAAAGGTTAAATTCAGCCAAGGAAGTTCTCCATGTCAGTAAAAGTAAACAATTCTATAGTGAATTTATTCTATCTTTCACATCGATCTTTTTGGCAATGACGGTAAAAAAAATATGCAATAAGTAATCAGAAATTTAAATTATTATTATTGTTATTCTTCTTAATATTATTAATATTATTATTATTAGTAGTAGTAGTATTATTATTATTATTATTAGTGTTTTAATTATTATTATTATTATTATTATTAGTAGTAGTAGTAGTAGTAGTATTGTTATTATTATTATTAGTGTTTTAATTTATTTATTATTATTATATATTATTATTATTATTATTATTATTATTATTATTAGTGTTTTAATTATTATTATTATTAATTATTATTATTATTATTATTATTATTATTATTATTATTATTTTATTATTATTATTATTATTATTATTAGTGTTTTAATTATTATTATTATTATTATTATTATTATTATTATTATTATTATTATTATTAGTGTTTATTATTATTATTATATTATTATTATTATTATTATTATTTTATTATTATTATTATTATTATTATATTATATTATTATTTATTATTATTTTAATTATTATTATTATTATTATTATTATTATTTATTATTATTATTATTATTATTATTATATATTATTATTATTATTATTATTATTATTATTATTATGTTTTAATTATTATTATATTATTATTATTATTATTATTTTATTATATTATTATTATATTATTATTAAAAATTTTCTACATTTATCATATTTACGAAAATGATTTATAAATGGAATCCGTATATTCAAGTTAAGGTCTCCATTCAGGCATTGCTGTAGACACCTGCTCACCCAGACTGTTAATGCTGGCAGTTCGCACTTCAAAGAATAGGTCATTTATAAATTGTTTATGTGGACTGTAATAATTTATCTTCGGAACAACAAATG